TTGTTGACCATTTTTTCAACAATCATACTTACTTTCCTTGACACTTATTTTGAACATTACCATTAAGAAAATGTTTAAATCCACGCTCCTATACCTTACACTTTTACACTGATTGTACTGTAGGCCCTACCAGAGAGAGGTACATTCCCAATACATTATGGTCTTCCACTTCTAGCGCATGATGTATGCATAGCAAACGTTATGTAACCACTAATAATACTCAGGTCCAGTCTTGGCGTAGGTATGGGCAGTGCAGTATTGGGGGCTCGTTTAATAGGTTTAATCTGGTCTAATGATCTAAAGATATAACTTTAAAAAATCCTATTTAAACTTTAAAAGGACCCTTCAATAATATTAGGTTTTAGAGGCTATAATATTGATTATATTCATTACAATTTACCTATTACTAATTTCCCACACGCTGCAAGTAAAAAAACCCCAACAAAACAAGCCCTTACATACGATGCACTAATGTACTTTTTGAAATCACATTTCTAAAGCAATAAAATATCGTCACGCACATGTGTGTTTGTGGTATTTTAAAGTTGGTTCAACTATTATTGTGTACGTTTTTAAACACTTCAAATCATCATAACTTCACGAATACATTTTATATTCACTTCACTGCAAGTAGGTTGATGAATGTTGTATTATTGAATGGTAATTGTTATTATCGTGATGGAATAGACAATACCTGGATTTGCGTCAGGAGAATCAATTAGGGGGCCTATATGTATTTTGCCCAACCTGTCGTGAATATGTATTGAATAGGCCTACTCAGTGCGTAATGCACTAATATACTTTTTGAAATCACATATCTAAAGCAATGAAATATCGTCACGCACATTTGTGTTTGTGGTATTTTAAAGTTGGTTTAACTATTATTGTGTACGTTTTTAAACAATTCAGAGCATCATAATTCACGAATACATTTTAGATTTACTTCACTGCAAGTAGGTCGAGATGACTGTTCTATTATTAAATGGTAATTGTTATTATCGTGATGGAATAAACAATACCTGGATTTGCGTCAGGAGAATCAATTAGGGGGGACTATATGTGTAATTTTGCCCAACTTGTCGTGAAAATGTACTGAATAATCAGTGCGTGTGGAAGTTGTTCTCCAATGGGACTCGAACACAGTTCTCCAGTTCCAGATCACTAGTCTGGCATCATACCTCTAGACCACCGAACTTGCACCTGATGGCCAGGTCTGAATTCGAGCCCAAGTAGCGGCGAGTACTATTTTTAGAAGTGTTTTCAGACGCACTAAGTAGGCCTATTCAGTAGGCCTACATTTCACGACGGGTTGGACAGAATTCCACCTATACATGTTCTATTGATGTTATCAATATTATAATATATCATAGATTCATGAAATGCTTAATAGGCCCTAAACGATAACATATAGGCTTATATAACTTGACCATAGTTTGTTCTCAATATTCTTGAATTTTTTAAACAAAATATTTTTTAGATATTTCTGAAATGCCGTATCTGTTTTAAAATATCTCAGAATGTATGAGCATTAAGAGTTTCGCCTGAGTAGACCCCACTAAAGGCTCAGTGTCTCTATGTCCGATCAGGTGCATTTTTACCAATTTTACATAGGGCCCGGCAGTTATCTATGCCATAGTTACCAACCGTCACGCATCGTGCGGGACAGTCCCGCGTTAAGTTTCAATGTGATTTTGGATGAAACACGCATTTTGCAGAAGCACATGCTAGATCATAAATGTGTCACGCATTTAGCACTTGTGTGATAACGAATTATCACAAATTCAGGGGAAAACGTATTTAAAATTAGAAGAAATTGGTTTTATCAAAAACACAAAAACGGTCATACAGTAGCTTGAGTCATTAGAGAGCTTTCATTATCTCGTTCGAGAATCAATTCACAGAAAGTTTCTCCTTTCTGACCAAAACAACCCAGCCAACCACGTACTTGTAGAATCTGTCACGAGCAGTCTTGCGAGTTACAACCAACCGTTGATTATGTGACTGGAACCCGAACTTCCGCAGGGGTTACATAATAAGCGGTATACCGTATATACTCGCGTATGTCCTATAAGGTGACCCGTGGGACGACCCCGAATTTAGGAGATTTTTGGTTGATATTTGTATGTCTGGCGTATGAGACGACTCCCTGTTTCATGGTCGGAATTCCTAATTTTGTGTTGTCCTGATACTGCATCTAACTGGATAAATGGAGCCAAATGCAAGGGTAATCTTCCAAATAATAACATTTTATGAGTTTTTAAATCTTTACCATCAAAATCGTATTTTTCCGTATTTAAAATTGCTTTCATTCATACAACATTTAGTTGCTTCACTACAGTAGTCAGTTCGCGTGTTACGGACGATCCGCACATAAGACGAACATGATTATACAAATCTAAAATATGAATGTCGTGCGTATAAGACGACCCCCTTTTTTCGATCGTAGTTTGCTATTTTAAGCCACGTCCTATTATACGCGAGTATATACGATTTGTTTTAAAACCCTAGGTCACCTGAGCGTTAGTCATACAGTTGCGGATTCAAGGGGGAAATTTTCCATGGAGGACCCAACCTCCTTTCATTTTAGGTGTTTTTGGAAACGTTTTGAACCCAATCTTTCAAATCCTGCATCCGCCCAAACTGTGAACTTGGAAGCTGCAAATGCAGAAAGATGGATTAAGACGTACCGAGTTGTGTGGTTGCCGGGGAAAATGTTAGACAATACCTTACAAGAAGTCTGTGCTCATCTATGTAAACATTAAACATATGTTAATAATTACGAAATATAGTTTATGTTTATTTGCTTAGAAATAACATGTGAAACTATGAGAATGTGTATATGTAATAGAGATACAGCATATTTATGTTATTGTCGTGTCATTAATAGAGTTCACAGATGGTTGATCAATTTGTGCACACTTTATTCCATTAAACGTACTAACATACACCATATTGAGCAAAATAGACATTCCAAAGTGTATAGCGGGTGATAGATTACAGCCATCTTGGAATTAAAAAGATCCCCATGTAATCATAATGGATATTGTATCAATATGCTTGTAAACTCCAAAAATATACACCATTTTACTGTAATCGAGCCCTAAAATTATTAAAGATATATGCATTGACATACTCATTTGAATGCGGCTCTCTTGGAATTCAAAGTGGCCATCATGCAATCATAATACAAGTTATATCTATATAATAGGTTTTCTTAACGCCAATTACAATGGCTTTGTCTCCCAAATCAGAAATCATAAGTGAGGTTGTATCCAAAATGTTTCTTGTGACCAATAATTACACCATATTTACTGCATGTAATAAAGGTGTTATAAAAGGATAAGCCTTGAAACCATGTATTTGGTGGCCATCTTTGAATTCAAAAGAGCCAACATTTATTCAGTCAGTATTTGCAATTGCATATATTTGTTTAATAAACCCGATAACATTCACCGTAATTGAGGCTCTACAAGTTCAGATATGCGTTGTAATGCAATTTAATGGCAGCCATCTTGGAATTCAAAATGGCCACCATGCAATCGAAATGTAAGTTATACCAATGTTTGTTGACCCCAATACCATATACTTTGCCCCCAAAATCAGAACAATTTAGGTGCCTTTCAGCTGAGATATACTTAAAAAGTGAAAATTTGGGGTCAACCATTTTGAAATCCAAAATAGCCACTTTCCCCTGACCAAATTTTGGGCAACCCTTCAATTCCATGTTGTTGATACCCCAATGAATAACTGTGCCAAGTTTCAGAATGTTATCACAATTTGAAGGATTGGTTCGCTTAACAGGCCTACTATAGGTGTAGGCAATATTTTTGTGTTTCTGGACCAAGTGGTTGAGGAATTATGACCATCATATTATTATATTGGATAAAGGTCAGTAACCTTTGACCTGGAATATTTAGCCAGCGCAGCTACTAGAAGGTGGCAAAAATACTTTAATAAATTGATCCCAAAAACCTAGGTGTAGCCACTATTTTTGTGCAACTAGACAAACTGGTCGAGTTATGACGATCATAGTTGTATAAAGGTCACTGACTTTTGACCATAAATATTTAGTCAACGCATCTATTAGAAGGCGGTTAAATGTTTCCATAAATGTTGACCCCAAAAATCTAAGTGGAGACACAATTGTTCGTGCTTTGAGACCAAGTAGTTGAGGATTTATGACATGGAACTTGCTATATAAAGGCTATACTGACCTTTGACACTGAATATTTGGTCAACGCAGCTACTCTAAGGCGTCAAAAATTTCCCATAATTGAGGAGTTATGACCATCATATGTTGTATAAAGGTCATTGACCTTTGGACCCAGAATATTATTTGGTCAACGCAGATACTAGAAGGTAGCAAAAAAATTTGAATAAATGTTGATCCCAAAAACCTAGGTGTAGCCACTATTTTTGTGCATCTAGGTAAACTGGTTGAGGAGTTATGACGATCATAGTTGTATAAAGGTCACTGACCTTTGACCCTAAATTTTTAGTCAACACCGCTACTAGAAGGCGGTAAAAATGTTTCCATAAATGTTGACCCCAACAATCTAAGTGTAGACACAATTTTCGTGCTTTGAGACGAAGTAATTAAGGATTTATGACCCGAAACATGCTATATAAAAGCTATTCTGACCTTTGACCCTGAATATTTTGTAAACGCAACTATAAAAAGGTGGCAAAAATTTGTTCATGACTATAGGCCTACAAGAATATGCAAACAGTCCTTTTATTAGAGTTTGTTTAAGGTTAAATAGGATTTTTGTCACATTTAGCCTGTACTATTTGGCTTTGTGCGTATTTTTGCTGTCTGTGTATCAATTGTACAGACTATTTCGCTAAGTTGTTTTTGATTTAGTGGTGTGGCAGCTGCGACCTAGATAGAAAGTTGGAAGCGAAAAACATGTTTATTAGGCCTACGTTTGCGTATGTTAGTTTGTTTCTTCTGGCCAATTTGCATATGCATGTTTTTTTTTCTTACTACATATAAGTCTGAATAAAATTGGTTCACATTGACAGATTGTGGTGTCTGGTGTACGCATATTTTTTTTTACGTTTGCGTCAAAATGTTGCTGAATGGACCTTCCGCAAAGCCCTTTCCATTGGGTAACTGAAAAATGACTGTGGCAAAAATTGCTGGTGTATGGGTATTTTTTACGTCTCAGTCAAAACGCCTCAGATTTTCTCCTATTTATTGTCAAACAAAACGACAGCGTAAACGTACGTACTACGTGAGTTTGTGGCAAAACACATTTTTGAGGAACAAACGCGTATCTTGTCCCCCTGTTCTGATTGGATAATTTTACTACATTCCCGGATAGGTAATAAACTACAACAGGAAGTTTGAAGAGCTTGGTGGTAAGACGCTTGCCTTCTTATCCAAATGCCCTGGGTTCAATCATGGAGGTATAAAAATATTTTTATACCTCCATGGTTCAATTATTGTGACAGCAGGACTTTTTCTCCCGACTTAAAACAACTCCAATCCCTATGCCTCACGTTATTTCATTTATTTAAGAATAAAAATTAGTATCGAAACGTTGATGCTTGTCAATAAATGTGTATATGATTTAAATATTTGTGTTCTATTTCAGACAAGAACAAGATCGTCACGGGGTAACGGTCAAAACGAGCATATCAATAACTGGTCAAGAAGCCTAGCAAACATGGATTATAGCACATATTAATAAATCTATCAATCAACATTATTTATTAGTTGATCAATATTATTATTCTGTCATCATTTCAGAAAATTGTTTTACAGCAAATAATAAGTACTAACAGCTGATCTTACAGTGC